GCTCGTATTGATTATGTTTTTAATTATGTATCAAATATTGATTTTCTTGAATATTCATTTAATCCAAATTCAACTATAAATCGTGCAATTATTAAAGAAATTATAGAAGATATGCATACTTTAATGGATGCTGGCTTTCTTTAATCAAAACAAAAAAAAAACAATATATACATATAAGAACTATAATAAAACAAACAAACAAACAAACTCTATCATTCTTTGTATCTATGATATTTTTTTTTTTTCTTTTTGCTTTCTTTTTATTTCAAAATAAAAATTAAAATCTATCTGAAGAAACTGACGAAGATGAAGATGATAAACGTTTTAGAAGACTGGTTAATGCTAATAAATCACGAAAATCTAATTGTCCATTATGATTTGTATCAACAATATTGAATAGAGTACGTGCTAAATGTTTACTAACAAAACCAAGACCCATTTCTTTAAGAAGAATTTCAACATCTTCAACTGTTATTTTACCATCACCATTTTTATCCAATGATTTATACTACAAAAAACAAAAATGAATGAGTACAAATTTTAATTATGATTATTATTATTTACCATTTGATATATTTGTTTAACATTGTTAAGGCCACTTTTTCCATTACTACGTTTATCAATTCCTTGTTGAGAATTATTTAGAAAATTACCAATTCGATTTGATTGATTTGAACGTATTTGAGAATTATTTACAGAATTATAATCATCGTTATTACTCATAGCTATTGATGAATCATTGAAATCAATATATTCTTGTCGAACATCACCTACATAAGTATGAACATCATTAATTCCAGCATTACGAAACATTTGTACAAGTGTTCCATTTTGTGCATCATTAGGACCGAAATTTTTTAATTGTTCCATTAAGAATTAGTTGATTCGTATAAGATTTAAATCTGATAAGGATTTGAATATTTGACTGTGCTTAATATACTTTTAGCTTTTTCAAGAAAAAAATAGAGTGGGTGGCGTAAACTGAGACATGTGATGACGCGATCATACTATTCATCTATAATGACATCATTTTGACAGAACACATAAAATGCAACCTCATTGTTAGTAATTCTTTCGTGTATGATGATTCAAACATGTTGAATTTTAATGCTTAAATATATATATATACTTACAATGTACAATTGAAATAACAGTTTTTGACAACTTATGTATGTTTTAATAGATCAATAATCTAGTATCTTAAAAATGATAAAAGTACAGTATTGTCTTCTAGATATGTACCTTTGCTTGATATATTAAATATTCATATGTTTACATGCAATCTTGATGTAGGTTAGTGCGAATTTGACATGCTATTGGGATAATTTTAAAGACACATATTTTTATATATAATCCACATTTTATTGCGTCGTTACTATTCGTGTCAAGAAAATCTCACGGAAAGATATCAAAAAGAAAAGTTCAATGAATAGATATTGTAGAATTAAAAGATAAGCTTTTCAATAGGAATTAATTTACTTAAATTAACTTCAAGGCAAATATTATAAAAATGCTGAAAACGTTATTCTAAATGACGCATAACTTGAAAGAAATTGTCACGAGCATAAAATGTCATTGCCACTTAGTATTGATAGTTAGTTATTATCCTAATATAGATCAACTTCTTTTTTTTTAACAATCATTTTTAAGAATATCTTTGATATTCTAATAAATAATCAATATACTGAAATAATATTTCTAAAATTCTTTCGCTTAAAATTTTCTAAGAGATTAAAAATAGATTAGAAAAAATACACAAATATTCAAAGAACTTCTAGAATAATTTATTTATCTATTAGTAAGTCAAATATGTACTCCAACAGCGAGTCACTATTGGACTACTTTCTTGATCATGAAAAGTATGTGACATTAAACTATCGTTCTAGTGTTTATCTATAGATTGAATTATATTTTTAACACTTCGATCAAACTCAATTTTATAGTTGAACGAATGATAATCGATAAAATTATACTAGTGAGTTTTGTATATAATCTATAAATGTACTATATCTTAGTTTTATTAGTCAATAATTTAAAAGAACTGCAATCTCATACAAGAAATAATATACACTACAAATTTGTGAAATCAAACAACAATACATGTTAACATTATGAAAAATCTGCATCTTATATTACAATTAAAATATGATAGCTCATGAGAAATGAACAATCGTTCGTACAATTTACTGTGCTTCGAGTTTTTTCGAAAAAACCAACATGTTTATCAATCAGTTGCTCAAAGTCAGAATCAATGTGAAAAGCAACTGTAGTAGAACTCATTACTACAAGAACTCTATCGATTGATCGTTCAATTATTTATAGGATTCCTTATCTATAAACAGCTGTCTGACATAGGAGCAAAGAGAGTGGCGCCTAACTTGTTATGCTGTTTTTACTTTAATTATCTAGAAACTTGAAGTAAAATAAAGTGCTCAAAAATTTCTCTTCTTTGATTTCTATTTGTAAACGAACGGAGCGGCCTATAAGGATTGGAAAACAAGTGCTATCGATTCATTCTCAATACTCTCATCTCGCATAACAGCCAGTAGTCGTCCATAGAGTTCTGATAATTAAGAAAAAAAAAAGATGTCAGCAACTGTCCATCAATGGATCATCATTAGCACTAGCAATAATTAATTATTGCTAAGATCAATGCTAAGTCTCACTTTCTGAAACCGACATAATGAAACCAAGATTAATAGATTATTTATGATATCCAGATTTTACTTTAGACAAACGAAACATCTTACGAAAACTCGGTCAAAATTTGTCTCATATAGTGATCTCTATGTGTCTAATGACGTATCAACGAGCATCAGACAGTGTATCGTGCTCGTGATCATCGCATCACAAAATATGGACTTTGACTGTTTGATTCAATAAAGAACTAGATAGCACTCTTCCTGAATTCGTTGTGTGAACTTGCCCACGGAAAAAAAATTTCAAAAAAACCGCGGTTTTGGTCGGTTTCGCAGAAATGCATAGATGGTCAGACTACCGTTATATTAAGAAACCACTTCAAACTGCAGTTTTGAATACCGTTGCACACCTTCGATTTTTCCGACACACTAGAGTGAACCGACTCTGGTATGCTGAACATAACTTGTAACTTGAAAGTTTCAGGTGTGGTGCCTCTCTAGGGGCAGTGAAGGCGACGCTCGAGCTCCATTTTCACAAAGTACCTTTGTAGAGTCAGATGAATTATCTGTTTAATGATCGAACAATTTGGTAGAAAAGGTGGGACATGACATCTTGATTGTGCTTACACATTACTTCACACTTCGATATGCACAGCGGTTTTTCACAGCGGCACCGCGGTTTTTAAAACCGCGTCTGCCAGTGGTGTAGCACATCACGATGTGGATTTATGAAACCGCGGTTTCTGAAACAACTACTAACCGCGATATAGAACTCTGCGATCTTGCCGCAGAAAATCGCTGTCCTTCTAGTTACACCGTGGTGCGTTGATAGAACCGCAGTGAACTTTATTTTTAAAATTTTGTGGGTTGGTTTTAAAATAAAACGAGTCTTCTACCATATGAATTCTCTTGAAACAGTCTGCATTAACAATCATTCGCTTTTATTAATTTATCGAATAACTAATACTGTTTTTTTGTGATTCGACTACAATCACTTCTCAACAAAAACAGATTAAAAAATCAATAAAAGCTGCAGCATTTTTTATCGGTCGACTTGTGACATTCCTTCGACAACAATTTGCAGATGCATTGAAAATACTTCTATTATGCTAGATCAAGTATCTTCTGGTATATCACTTTAATATGAAAATGATAATAAGCAGATGTATTTCAAATTAATAAAGATTTTTTTAAACAAAATGAAAAGTCACCGTGGTCATAATACAGAACACTGCGGTTTAGAAAACCGGTAATAACCGCTATAATGAAAATCGCCGTTATGAGTGTATATACCGCGATGAATCGCGGTTTACGTGGGTTATCCAAATGACACCGCGGTTGCCTTAAAAAAATTTTTCCCTGGGTACTACACTACTCAGTTAAAAAAGACTTGATGTTGATATAGCGTGAGTTGTTCTTTTGTTGAAAGAAAAATGAATCAAAACCAAGAGAAAAAAAGAACTATGATAATACTGGTGTATTTGTTCATCTAGTTTGAAAACATGATTCTATGATTTTTGTTATAAATATCTATTATACTATTGTTGTCATTGCACAACCTTTTGATCCTTTTAAACAATAGCTCATATTAAAAAAAATTCATATGCCACGGGCAGGAATCGAACCTGCGTTATCCGGACCACAACCGGATGTACTACCATTATACTACCGCGGCGAAAGTAGATTAGACGAAACAGATTTTTCATGTAACTGAATCGATTCACACTATGTAGGAATCGAGGATTTAATGTCGATTGTGTATATATTTTTACATTCAATTATATTGTGTTAGGCGAAAAAAAAATTTAGTAAATCTCAAAAACTTTCCTAGAACAAACAGGTATATCATAACTAATCGTTCATTATTTCCCTAAATTTTCTCACTCATTATGATTTATAAATAATTTTTATCATTGGAACTAATAAGGGAACATTTGTAAGTGATCCCTTTCTCTTGAGCTCATTCATTTACAGATATTGTTAATATGGTTCAATTGTATTTTGAAGTTTACTTGATAATAGAAATGCATTTAGATTGTTCTTTTATATTTAAAAAAATTATAATTTGACTATATTGTCTTTTTAAGTATTCATTCAGAGGATGTGGATGTCCATATTAAAAACCTCATACACACATCCACATCGTTTCCTCACAGCTATACAAGTAAATAAAATATTTTGTTGGAATATATCTTTTTTTGTCAAATTCAAATCATTGCAATGTTATTTTTTATGAAATATAAATAGAATTTATTAAAATAAATCGAGGTATGTTTCAATAGTCATATAAGAATATATGTATGAATAAGAATTTCTATGAGCATCATAGATTCAGAAAAAAAAGGGCAATCTTGTTTTTTTTTATCGAACTACACGTGTTCGCGATAATATTGGCCTAAAATCTCGACTTTGTTCACGATGAAAATGCGTTCGATTATTAATTACTTCTGGACATTGGCAACTATGACGAATTTGTTGTATCATTGGAAAATAATTTTTTGTTAATTGTTCAACTTGTTCATATACGTTACCATTTGCTGATGCAGTTGATTCTTGTGAAAGATTATCTAATGATGTTGCATTTGATACTTTTAATTGTATTTCATTTGAAGTTAATTTATGTTTTGATGATGTTCGTAAATGTAAAGCTTTAGTTGATGTCAATTGTGGATGATGAAGATTTTGCCACATATTATTAGATTTAACTTTATTTATATTAAAATAATCAAATGATCCAAATGATTCATAAAGAAGTCTATCACCTGATGATGTTCGAGATCGTTCACCATCATCTTTAATATTTTTTTGTTTCGAATTTTTATTTATTGTTGGTAAAGTTTTCAATGCTCGATTTGAATAACTAGAATTTATCAATGGATTTGATACAGTATCAGGTATGGCAGAAATTGATTCCGCTGTCATTGTATTTGTATCAACAAGTACATTAACAAATACAGGACCGATAAGATGTTTAAGACGAGATGAAGATCGAAATTTTGCTGTTTGATCTGTAGATTTTTTATTATTATCAACAAGTGGTTTTCGAGATGATATTGTACGTAAATTTTGTTGTGAAGGTATTGTATAAAAGATTTCATATGAATCTGTTTGAACAACTGGTAATGATAGATCAACTCGATGAACAGGAAGACTTGTAGTTTTTTCTTTTTTTGACATTTTTTTTTCAATGTTAAAAATATAAAATGCTTCTTTTTTTTTCAATATATTCCAGTAAAATTTGATTGTACGCAAATATATTTTGATTTTGTCGCACAAGAGAAGAAAAAGAAAACAAATAAGATGAAATATATAATCTATTTTTTCTTTTGTTCGTCTCTCACTTCTTTTTTTTTTCATTATAAAACTTTTTTTTTTCTGATTATTCGGCTTGTTCAACTTTTATTTATAATTTAAATTTTCATATCAATAATGTATTAAAAGTAAGAAAAAAATAAATAAAAGAATCCCTAGTCATTTTTTTTTTCTTGTATTATTACATCAAGGCTATCTAACTCATCAAGACCAAAAGTTATTTTCATTCATAATTCTTATGATTGTAGATACATTGTAGCAGACTTTTCATATTCTTTTTTAGATAATTTAAAACTAATCAAATCATATATCAATTTGAAAACTAATTCATGTATGATAATAATAAGTTTACCAAGAAAGATATGTCATGCGTAGTAAAATAAAGCAGTAGACATTTCATCATAATCAAATAATAATGAAATTATGTTACTATTTTTAATAAGTTGCATATTAATGATGATAGTTGAGATTGTTTACAAGTTGCTTAGGATGAAGAAGCAAAAAAAAAGAAAACTAATTATTTTATAGAATACATTTACATTTACATAGATTGAAATTTTTTAATTGTTTTAATAAAGAAAAAAAAAAAAAATTCAATTTATTTTAGAATAATAAGTGACAAAAGAATAAAAAAAAAAAGAATCATATACTCTTATTTTACACAAAACAAAACATTCCCTTATTCAAGGTTTTATAAAACAAGAGATTTAATCCATTATTTAAAAACAACATCTAAGAAGATCATTCTAGAGAATTTCAGTATGATGAGTTTCGATTCGAAATATTTACTATATAACAATAATGTCATTTGTTTCAAGTATAAATTCTAATAGGTACTGATTCAGAACTCGATTTCCTATTGTTTTTGAAACTTAAAGTAATAAAACCTTTTTCTTTTTCCATGTTTCTCATATAATGTGTTTGCTGTCAATGTATGATATTAATGCATATAATTAAACTCTCTTATCTCCTTGCTGGACTTATCCGAGACAGCGAATATTGGCAAAAGGAAAGTTGTATAGATTTTTTTTGGTATGAGAGAACGCATAAAAAATTTTCGACTTCACTAAGAAATAATAAAAAATGCTTCTTGATTGATGAATGCCACACCCTCTAGGTCAGGTCGTCCCTGTGTTGTCTTTCGGTCATATAGCTCAATACAAAAAACAAATTTGAATCAATTATCATTTGAGCAACTTTGACATAAACAATTTGTTATTGTCCATTTGATATATACAAACTGTTATATACTCATGTCGTTCACTCTCTGCGAATTCAATTGTAAAAACAAAGACAAATTTTATTTATTTTTATAAAACATTCAATTAATTAAATCATCAAATAAAATGAAAAAAATAAAAATAAAAGAATATTGTTTTTTTTTTTCTTAGGATCATTTGTCTTGAAGAATGTTGCAAGATAGTTATAAAGAAACATCAACAAAACCAAGAAAAAAACTTGTCCAACATACAAGAAAAAAATTCGATTCTCTTGTATGCAAAAATACAAAGACTTCATAAATATTTAAATGCATTCATCTTCACATACGTCATACAATCAATTTTTTTTCATATTAATGTTCATTGATACTTGAACAAAATAAAATCTTGTTTACAATGACAACAATATTCCAATAGGATCTGTATATTATCTTTAATAATAATATAAAGAGTTCTAATTATCAAAGTTCGAACATACACAAATTCATTTTCTTTCCAGTAATCTATCTATTTTCATCTTTTGCTGCATATTGAACTTCGATTCATTCGAACTTTAAATACTCCTGATAGAAAGATTCACGTATATTGATATTGAATATAATGATTTTTGAAAAAGAAATATGAATACATCTTTAACTATTCAAAGAAATTATATGATTACTATTATCATGCAAGCAGTGTATATATATATGAATTTTGTCCACTTCTTTTTTACATTTCAACGGATAGTATGTTTAAAAAGATTCATATGAATATCTTGATTTGTTCAAAGAAAAATGTTAAGTTAAAATTCTATCGAATGTCTTGTATTGACCGACGAAAAGAAAAAAACTAAATTCAATTCATTAGTAATGCAGGAAGTCATAGAATTTTTGTTTTTTTAAATATTATATTTCAAGCACATTCTTTAATTCGTGCTCATATATAATAATCAAAATTAGAAAAAGAAATCCAAAGAAGATTTTTTTCTTTTTTACGAAACAAAAAAAAAAGGAGATACATAATTCATTAATATACATTTAAACTATTGCTAAAAAATAATGATGATCTTTCTTCGATGACTAGACTCAATCAGATAAATAATAAGAACAAAAAAGACAATCAAACATGAATATTTTTAACAAGGAGCTATAACAAGACAATTACCACATAATTTTGTTTGTCCTATACAATCATCATGACAATAAGCACCACATTTTTTACAAGCAATTAATGGTTTACATTCACATGTACATTTATAATTTGTTGTACGACTTGTTGCTAATGATGTTGAAAGTGCATCATATAATTGTTGTTTTCGTATTGAATCATTACTATTTGATAATTGTTGAACTTGTTGTTGAGAAATAAATGTTGTCGTTGATGTTGTTGTTGGTACACGAACAGTTGTAGATATAGGCTGTTGTTGTTGTTGGACAAGATTTCCTATAGGTGTTGTTGTTGTTGCTGCTGCTGATTCTGAAACTGTTGTTGAAGAATCAGAACGCATAATTTGTTGTAAAAATACATGTTGCTGTGGTGTTAATGTTGTACTAGTTCCAGGAATGAATTTAGTAGATTGTTGTTGAGGTACATTGACTACAAAAGCATTTACACGAGCTTGTAATGTTTGTTGTTGTGTTGAAGAATCTGTACGTGTTACAAGTAAGGCTGGACGTGATGAATCATAATTACCTATGATAATGAAATTTTCGAAATAGTATATGCAACAAGGATCTTGTAAAAAAATTAATCTTTCAAATAAGAAAAGAAAGATACTGTCAGTGAAATTCCTATGAGATAAGAAAAAGTGAAACACGATGTGAATTTCTTTTCATAGATATTGTTCTTTCGTAGAATTTATCCTGAATTTTTCAAATTTTTCTTTTGTATGATTAGACAAATATTTTCTAATAACGTTTTAATTAATAGTCAATTGTAAAAGAAGCAACTTATTGAGGCAAATAAAAATGAGTAGATTCCGTTTTGTCTGAAATAACCGAATATGTGTCTGTTATGATTTGATACAATAAAAAAATTTTATTTTACCAGTATCCATTGCTTGTTGTTGCTGTTGTTGTTGTTGATTAATCTTTGCTACTTGATTTCTTGCAACAGCTTTTAATGCAAGTGCTTGTGCATTTTTTGTTGTTTGAGAAATATTTGTTGTCATCCAACTAGTTGTTGATTCATTAGTATTTTTTTTATTTGTTGCTGGTGCTATAGGAGAATATGATGTTGTGGATTGTTGAGGTTTAACAGGTGATGCAAGAACAATATGCATTGGTTCAATAAATTCACCATTAGTTTTAATTAAGATTTGTTGTAATGATTCACCATTAAGTGTTGTTTCTTTTTTATTTTTTTTAATTGTTTTAGCTTTAATTATTCCACTAGGTTCTTTTTTTATTTTAGGTGATAAATTATCTCCTTTAGTTACTTTTTTTTTCGGTGTACGAACAGGTGAATTTGTTATAGTTGTTGTAGGAATTGTTGAAAGCATCATTGTATTTATGCTTGGTAATGATAGAGTTGAATCTGATGAAAGAAATGCAAAAAGATCATCTGATGATGGTTCATATTTGACTGACGATACTAAAAATGAAGAAAACAAAAAAAAAAAGAAAGAAATACTGATTTGCATGATATTTATCGAATTTTTTTTTTTTTTTGTATAGTAAATTTTTAATACAGAAAAAAAAAAGCGAAGTTTTTTTTTTGTTTTACTTGTTTTAATAAATAACCGAACTTTTAGATTAAGACTATTGTGTACGAATAAAAACTAATTATCAATACATGGTTAATCAACCATAAAATAAATCTATAATCTAATGTTTTGATAATTAAAGCAAGAATACGATTCTCATTAGTTTATATATTAATAGAAAAAGTTTATTAGGTTCGTCAGAAAATTGTATGACATATGAATTGAGAGGAGGATATACATTTTCTACAGATCTACATAAGACTTCTCTCATATTCGTTGATTTTTATGAGTTTTTTAATGATACTAATTTAATAGAATCTTTTCACATGACAAGATCTTCTATGTATAACAATATTTGAAAACTTAAACATTTTTTTGTTTTTTCTATCTAACAACTAAAATCTACTAATTCACTTGTTGTATTCTCAAATTAGATATAATTCATGATAGGACACATTTATATCTCTGAAAGTATAGGCTATCGTTAGGTAACGTTTCGGAATTGGAATTTAAAATAATCAATTTTCTGGTGTTAGACATAAGATTCCCTCGGGGAGCGTTTTCCGAGCGAAGAATCCTCAATCTTGAAAAACTTTCATTTTTTGTCAAGTGTCTTATTGTTCTTTTTTCTGCTCATCCTTCTCAATTCGAGATATCTCTTGATATAAAAGTGGTAATCACTATAGACTTGTCGTATATTTATCGCGTTTTTTTTTATATCTTCATTTGCGTAAGTAATACAATCGAACTCAATATAGAAAACGTTAATACATGTCTCCTGTCACCTGTACAGACTTTTTTCCGTCATTTGATCTCATTAATTTATGAATGATTGATTTATTTATTTTATTCTCTATTTAAAAAAAGAAAAAGAAAAGATTAATTACTCTTCATTTCCTTCCTTCCGATCTCGATATTATTTCTTCTTCTCTTTACTAAACTTATTAGATTAACATTTT